ACCTCGGAGGACGAGGACAAGGGCTCGGAGGACACCGAGGGGGCCGAGGACAAGGGCTCGGAGGACACCGAGGGCGAGGGCAAGGGCTCGGAGGACAGCTCAAAGGGCGAGGGCGGCTCGGAGCACGAGAACTACGCGGAGGGTGGGGTCCCGATGGACGAGTTCGAGGAACTGTTCGCCAGGTGCGCGGATGCCGAGGCAGAGTGCTGCCGCCTCACCAAGGAGAACAAGGAGCTCAAGATGCACGAGGCAGAGTGCTGCCGCCTCACCAAGGAGAACGAGGACCTCAAGATGTATATCGAGCGCATGTCCCAGCATTGGGCAGACAGCTCGGATTCCGAGTGAGATTGCTTCTGCCTAGAAACGAACGCGGTGGTCACGAAAAAGGGGTCCGGAGGCGCAAATCTAAATAGGAAGGAGCTCTTGAGAAGAGCCCGGAAGATGTAGCAATAGCTAGTAACAGCAAAACCTATCAAGGAATATAGATGTTGTTATAGTTTGGAACAGCTCCTCCCCCCGCTGGATTAATCCAGGGCCGTTGGGATCAAAGCTGAGATTCTTCTGCCTAGAAACGAACTCGGTGGTCACGGAAAAGGGGTCCGGAGGCGCAAAACCAAATAGGAAGGAGCTCTTGAGAAGAGCTCGGAAGATGTAGCAATAGCTAGGAACAGCAAAATATATCAAGGAATGTAGATGTTGTTATAGTTTGGAACAGCTCCTCCCCCCGCTGGATTAATCCAGGGCCGTTGGGATCAAAGCGTTTCCTGTTTCTCCCTCTCTCTCCTCCTCCCTCCCCCCAGTCGCCGTTTGAGACTCAAGGCGCAGCCAGCCAACGGAAACAACGACGCAACACCACAATAGCACACAAACGGCGGCACACAGGAAACAACACAGCAACGATCATGACGCCGATAATCGGTCATCAGAAACACCACCACTGAGACAATAACGGAAACAGCCGACAGAACAGCGACAGAACGCAGCAACATCATACTAATGACCCAAATGACACCCACGAACTAAATAAAGCAGCCGTAATTGATGAAAAAAAACATCCTTGCAAAAGCACGCCTTTGCCACCCTCCGTGTCTGTCTGGGCTCAAGCGCGTCAGCGCGCCAGGGGATAAGGCGCGCCTGCCCGTTCCTTGCCAGGGCCGTCGGCCAGAGCCGCGCCAAGGCCGCTCCATGGCGACTGGACGCGTCTTCCCCGCGCCTAAGCGGGGCAAGGCGCGCGCTGTCCTGAAGACGGGGAAGCCCAAGCGGAAAGCCCCGAAGCACACGGGAAAAACACTGACGCAGAAGCAGACGCCAAAACAGAGTGCGAGGAAGGTGCCTTACGTGCGGCACGGCAAGAGAACTTGCACGTCCAGGCCGGAGCGCACTGGTTTCAAGAGGAACTTGTTCGACTTCATACGCGCCAGTGACCGCGAGATCGTCGACATGCTGGTAGAGGACCAAATTCTGGAGAACTTGGAAGGCCAGACATGCTCTTTCTGCACGAAAGGAACCCTCGGCCCCCTGAAGGACGTCCAGAACCGTGGGCCTCGGTACCGCTGCAACCACCACGCTTGCAAAAAGTTTTCCTTGCCCCAGAGCGGACACATGGTCTTCACCAGCGGCTCTGGGGCTGCCGCTGTGCCCTTGGAGGCCGCGCAACATTATATGAGCCCGTTCGTGTTCATGCTGCTGACTATGCTATGTAGATGTCCAAGAGGTGCCATGCAGATTCCACGAGGGGTGTATTTCAGCCATTCGATATGGTTCGTCCTTGTTGCACGTTGGGGGTTCCGACCCAGCCTGCAGCTGCTTTGTTCGTTCTCGAACTCGCCGAAGCGATTGAAAAAAAAAAATTCCCTCCTCTCCTCCACGCTCCCCTGCTCTGCCGCTTTTCCTCCTCCTTCTCCTCCCCGTCCTCCCTCCCTTGTGTTCCTCCTCTTCCGCTGGCGGAACTTTTTTTTTTTTTTGTTCCTCCTCCCGCTTTCGGAGGCAGAGTTTTTTCCTTTTCTTCCCTGTGAAAACACAGTTGTTTCCTTATTTTTCCTTTTTTTTCTCCTCTTTTTCGGTCTTTCCCCTGGGACGGCGGAGAAATTCGGAGGACCGAACGAGGCAGGGAAAAGAGGAAAAAAAGGAAAAATAAGGAAAAACCTTTGTTTTCACAGGGAAAAGAAGGAAACAACTCGGCCTCCGAGGGCGGGAGGAGGAAAAAAAGGAAAATACTTTCCGCCTGCGGAAGAGGAGGAAAGGGAGATGGACGGAGGAGGAGGAGGAGGAGGACGACGACGACGACGGGGAGGAGGAGGAGGAGGAGGACGACGAGGAGGAACAGGGAGAGACGGATTTTTCCTCTTTTTCCTCCTCCGGCCTTGGGGCGCGGAGATTTGTTCCTCTTTTTCCCTGTGAAAACACAGGTTTTTTCCTATTTTTCCTTTTTTTCCTCTTTTCCCTGCCTCGTTCGGGCCCTCCAGATTTTTCCGCCGCCCCAGGGGAAAGACCGAAAAAGAGGAAAAAAAGGAAAAATAGGGAAAAACCTGTGTTTTCACAGGGAAAAAAAGGAAAAAAACATTGCCTCCGAGGGCGGGAGGAGGAAAAAAAGGAAAAAAACGTTCCGCCTGCGGAAGAGGAGGAAAACGAGGGAAGGAGGAGGAAGCTGAAAGGAGAAGGGAGGAGGAGGAGGAGGGAGAGGAGGAGGAAGCAACATGGGGATCTTGGGGGGGGGGCGACCATATATATATATATATATATATATATATATATAGATATATATATAATATATATATGTGTGTGTGCATCGCCGAACGCGGTGTATGCGCGATGCCCAAATGCACATACACATATTGATATACAAACATACATGTATATATACATACGTATGTCACATCGAGCGAACACATAGTGTTCGAACATTCGCGATCAGGCACTTTGCAAGTAGTGGAGCGCGCTCGGCGAATGCCACCCGTGGCGGTCAAAGTGGGCCCGGAAACGCACTGGGCGAGTCTGCCGCGCCTGCTGGAGGCGCGGCGCGCTCGGCATGCCCCCCTACACTTAGGTCGGGCATGTCCCCCTACAGGCGGATGTTGGACGAAAAAAACGAAAGAGCCGAGACAATACTTGCACGTAGATAAAGCATCGTCCCCCGGCCATGCGTTGACTGTGTTCGAATATTCCTCCCGCAAAGGGACGCGCCCGGCTCAATCATACAGCCCCCCCTGCTCGACGGCAGTCCCACCCCGAGCTCCCGGAGTCTTTTTCGTGCAGCCCCGCGGGCACGGGAGGGGGGCCATGTTCTTCGGCATGACCTGTGGAAGGAGGAGGGGGAGAGGAGGAGGAGGAGGAGGAGGAGGAGGAGGAGGAGGAGGAGGAGGAGGAGGAGGAGGAGGAGGAGGGGAAGGGAGGAGGAGGGAGGAGGGAGGAGGAGGGAGGAGGAGGAGGAAGGAGGAAGGAGGGAGGAGGCGGAAGGAGGAGGAGGACGAGGCAGGAGGGAGGATGGAGGAGGGAGGAGGGAGTAAGGAGGAGGAGGACGCGCGTGACAGAATCGGGACGGCTTGGTAAACCTGCTGGGGCGCGCCTCGGTGGCCCGAGTAGCGCCCCTGTGTTCGGGCACGTGTGAAGCGAGTCCGTGAGGGAAGGCATCCCTCCCGTGCCAGGGACAATGATCAAGTCCTTGAAGAGCTCGTCCCAGTTCAAACGTAGTCCCCACGTCCTGATTCTGCTGCCCCTGAAGATAAGATTGTTCCTTCCATCCTCCTCGTGCGAGCTCCACAGGCCCCTCTCTTGCAAGCTCCGCACCAAGTACTTTTCCTCATCTCTCCTCCTCATCCTTCCCCCCTTTATCTTCCTTCCCTTGTTCCTTATTCTCTTCCTCCAGGGAGGCCCCGCCAGATCGCGACCGGATATCAAAATACCATGGCATGTGTCATCCTCCAAGGAGGCCCCGCCAGACGGCGGCAGGCGTCAGGGTACTATGTTCTGTGGCAGGCGTCGTGCCCCCCCCAACAGTACAAGCGTCCTAGGCCTAGCACTTGAAGCATGGAAGCATGCGCGTGTGCTTGCAGCAAACAGGTGTTCTGAAAGGGACGCAGGGAAGTTCTAGGACAAGCACCCCGCATGTCTCAGATCGGGAATGGCGCTCTCGTCCCCGCGCAGGCGACTTCTCTGGATATGGGTAATTGTTCATCGTTGTCACCCCCCTCGCTGCCTCTCCTCCGCCTTCCCCTTGTCCTCCTGCTCCGCCAGTTTCTTCCACTCCAACTCCTGCTGCTGCTGCTGTTCGTCCTCTTCCTCCTCCTTCCTCCTCCTCCTCCTCCTCCTCCTCCTCCTCCTCCTCCCCCTCCTCCACCCCATCATCATCATCATCACCATCATCATCATCATCATCATCATCATCATCATCATCATCATCATCACCACCACCATCATCAGCAGCAGCAGCATCCTCCTCATCATCATCATAATCAGCATCAGCATCATCATCATCATCCTCATCATCATCATCATCATCACCATCATCATCCTCATCATCATCATCATCATCATCATCATCATCACCATCACCATCATCATCATCATCATCATCATCAGCATCATCATCATCATCATCATCATCATAAGCATCACCATCATCAGCAGCATCAGCATCAGCAGCATCGTCAGCATCATCAGCATCGACATCATCATCAGCAGCATCATCAGCAGCATCATCATCGTAGTCATCATCATCAGCATCATCAGCAGCAGCATCATCAACGTCATCATCATCAGCATCATCGTGATCAGCAGCAGCATCATCATCAGCATCAGCATCAGCAGCAACATCGCCATGACACCATCACCATCATCATCAGCAGCAGCATCATCAGTATCAGCAGCCCCCTCCCTTCCCACACTGCCCCCCTGAATGCTGTCCCGCCGCCGCCCACCCGGTCCGTGCCTGCCTCTGCCCGCCCCATCAAGCGGGAGCTAGCAGGCACGCGCCGCAAGCTGCCCCGCGCGCAAGCGCGGTCTCAGCCGCCCAGCCCGAGCCCCTGGGCTGCGTCGAGCAGCCCCAGGGCCTCCTGCGGACGAGGGGAGCGAGGATCGAGGATCGAGGAGAGGATCGAGGACTTCAGGCGTCCCAGAGAGGCCACTCGCCGCCACAGGAGGGGGAGGAGGGAGGAGGGAGGAGGGAGGGAGGGAGGAGGGAGGAGGTTGCAATAACCCCTCCCTCCAATCTCCCTCTTCACAGGTACCAGCCATCACGCGTCTTCACTGCGAGGAGTGCCCCACATGAAGACAACCGTCGCAGAATCGCCAACCGTTCTAAAACACCGTCCTCGGCACTTCAGCGCCGCGAATCGAAGCGAATGTCGCGCCCGGACGACAGTCGTGAATCTCCGACCATCCTACATCGCACCAGAACACCATTCCTGGGATTTCAACTATGAGAACCCTTGAAACTGCTACAAACTGTGACAACAAATGTGCGCGACAGGCGAGAGCGACATTCCGAAAAGGAACCGCCCTACATCCGTGAAACTGCTGCAAACTGATGAGACACATGCGCGCGGCGCCAAGCCGAGAGCTACAGTTTGAAAACGGCCCAGCCCCCGTCAGCGAAACTGATCGCAAACGTGCAAAACGAATGTGCTCGGCGTGCAGACAAACCACATGTTGAAAACGGCCCTCCCTCCATCCGTGAAGCTGTTGCAACAGTGTTACCTTGACAAGTGCGCTCGGCACTGAAAAACGAGAACCACATGTTGAAAAGGGACCGCCCTCCACCCGCGGAACTGGTGCAAGCGTCGAGGACAATTGCGCGCGGCGCTGAAACGAGAGCCACAGGTTGAAAACGACCCGCCCTGCATACGTATGTGAAACTGTTGTAACCTCTTGAAGCCATATGTGCGCGGCGCTCTGGCGAGGGCCGCAGATCGAAAACGGCCTCCATCCGCGAAGCTGTGGCAAAGTTCAGGCTTCAGGGCCATAAATGGTGGGGAAATCTCGAGCGAAACGCCCAGCCCGTCCTACCCATACGCCTGGGGGTGCGGCAAGGAGGAGTTCTTCAAAAGGACGCGGGATGGAGGAGGGAGAGAGGGAGGGAGGGAGCCAGGGAGGGAGGGAGGGAGAAAGGAGGGAGAAAGGGAGGGAGGGAGGGAGGGAGGGAGGACGAGGAGGAGGAGGAGGGGGGAGCAGGAAAGGGAAGAGGGGGAAAGGAAGGAGGAGGCGGAGGAGGAGGAGGAGGAGAAGGCGAAGGGGGAGGAGGACGAGGACGCTTCCAGGATTTGCAGCAGGACGGCCCCCCCCCTAGGAGGAGAGAATCGGGGGGAGAGCCCAGCGGTCGCTCGACGGCGTTGCCTGCGAGGGCACGTTTGGCGCCACCGTCGCGGAGGCCCTCCCACCCTGGGCAGCGGTAGTGTCCCCGGAACGGTTCTTAACTGTCCCGGGGCCCGAGCCAGGCCCCCCGAGACAGATAAGGTGCGTGTGCATGCATGCACCCGCAAATGTATGTACGCATGTATCCGCATACATACACACATGCATACATGCATACATACATGCATGTATGCATGCATACATACAAACATGCATGTATGCGTGCATACATACATGCATACAGATATGCATACAGACATACCGATCTGCCTATCTACCTACCTACAGACAGACATACGTACGTACGTACGGGCGTACACACATACGCACATACATACATACGCACGTACATGCATACATATATACACATATGCATGCATACGTGCATACGTACATACATACATACCTGCACGCACGCATACATACGTAGATGTAGGCATGCATACACACATGCATGCATACATACATACATACCTATATACATACATACATACAGACAGACAGACGTACATACCTACATACAGACATACATACATACATATATACATACATACATACATACATACATACATACATATATACATACATACACACGTACATACATACATACATACATACATGCATACATACATACACACATACATACATACATACATACATACATACATACATACATACAAGCGTACACATACACATGCATACATTCAGACATACATACATACATACATGCATGCATGCATACATACATGCAATCATATATACAGACATACATACATACATGCATACATACATATATGCAGGCATACATACATACATACATGATTACATACATACATGCATGCATGCATGCATACGCATACGCATACACATACACATCCACATACACATACACATACATATACACATACACATACATACATGAACGCATCCATACATACATATACACTTACACACATGCATGCATGCATATATACATCCATACATACATACACACATCCACACATACATGCATACATACATACATACATACGTACATGCAAACATACATACGTGCGTGCATGCATACATGCATACATATATACACGCATGATACATACATGCGTGCATGCATTCAGACATGTGTATGCATACGTGCATGCAATCATACATATATACATGCATGCATACATACATGCATGCACATGTATACATGTTTTTTTTTATCTACCTACCTACCTACCTACCTACAAACACACATACACATACACACATACACACATACACACATACACACATACATACATACATACATACATACATACATACATACATACATACATACATATAGACACATACATCCGCACGCACATCATACATACATACATGCATATATACATGCATGCATACACACATGCACACATGCAGACATGCATCCATGGATACATACCTATATACAAGTGTAGATAGGCGGGTATGCATGCCTGCGTGTGCGTGCATGTGTGCGCGCGCACGCACGCATGCACCAGAACCACGCACGCTCCGCGCGTGCACCCCAGGGGGCTCCGCCTGCGGCCACCAGCGACAGGCTCGGCTCAGGGCCCCCCGCCCACGCCGGCACGCCCCCCACAAGGGGTCGCGCCCCACGGGGAGCTCCACCTGCATCCCCGGAGACGAGGTCCGCACGGTGGCACGCACACGTCGTTCAGTTCTAATCATGCTCATTTCTACTTCTGCTCGTTTCTACCATTAGAAATGAAAGGACCTTGGCCCAAAAAAAATCCAAGAACTTTCGAAGAATTCGAAATGAACCATGTGTAAATGCAGTTTGCGGCACCCGAGGGGAGCTCCATAGCACGGCCCCGCTCGCTCCGGCACGCCTCTTGCACAGGCCGTGGCCCCCCGCAGGGAGCTCCGCGGGCGGCCCCAGGGTCAAGGTTCGCCTCCCGCCCTCCCGCTCACTTCTGCACACCTCGCACGCGGATCGTGATCGTGGCCCACAGGGATCTCCACCCGCGGCCCCAGAAGCAGGGCTCGTGCTGCGCCACCCACCCACCCCCCCCGGGCCACTGCGGCATACCTCATCACGAGGATCGTGCCCACAAGGAGCACCACCTAAAGGCCCAGAGACAAGGCTCGTGCAACGCCCCCCACCCGCCCGTGTCGGCACACCTGTCACGCGAAGCATGCCCCAGAAGGAGCTCCACCTATGGCACCAATTGGCAGCTTCGCGTGGCGTCCCCGCGCCCATTTCGGCACATGCCGCATGCCTCGCACGGGGCGTGCCCCGAGGAGGTCCACCCGCGGCCTCAGTGGGCGTGTTCGCGCGGCCCTTCACGCGGAGCGTGCCCCACGAGGAGTTCAGCGCACCCGTGCACGCGTGCCCCGCGGCAGCCATCTTTCCGCATTCCCCCGCGGCGCGCAGTGTATGAAGAGAGACCCGCGCCCTGCACTACACATGACTGCACAGGGATGGGTCCGTCACCAAACGAATTGCTTGCTTATCTATGGCCTTCGGCCCGTACTGCTATTGTGCCTTAGTTTTGTGCCAAAGGATTCTTGGATGCCTGTAATTCGCGGTCTCTTGGCATGCCCCTCGGGCGCCTCGTGAAGCAAGACTTGAAGCTTCTTGTGGCCTCATGTGGGCCTTGTGGGGGCCTCTTGGGCCTCTTTTTGGGCCCTTGGGGGCCTTTTGGGTCCCTGCTGCGGCCTGGGGGGCCCACTGGTGGCGGATGGCTCGAAATGTCAGTTGGCGTTCCCCCTCTTGGACTCATTTCAGGACCGTCTTGGGCCGTCTTGGGCGCCTCTTGGACCGTCTTGGGGCTCTCTTGGGCCGTCCTGGGACCCTCTTGGAGGCCTCTTGGGCCGTCCTGGAGCGATCTGTAGGGCCTCATGGGCCGTTTTGGATGCTGCCAATACCCAAAGTGCCAAGTTTGGCATCTTGGGGCCCTCTCGGGGCGCATCTTGGAGCCTTCTTCAAACACCTTCGGGGCCTCTTGACCCGTCTTGAAACAGGTATCCGGGCGTCTTCGGCCCTGTCAGGCCGCTCCGATCGAATCTTGGTGGCATCCAGAGCAGTCTTGAGCGGCGGAGGGGAGGCCCGAGAGGCTACGGAAGGGGTAAATCACGTCGTGGGCCACAGTGGGTGGGGAATCTGGGAGGGCGTCCCCGCCCAGGACTCGCCCCCCAGCACCAGCAACAGCACCAGCAGCACCACCAACAGCGGCACCAGCACCAGCACCACTCTCGCGAGACAGCTTGCGTGCCCGATCCTGGGGTCCTCTTGGAGCCCTCCTGGGGCCATCTTGGGGCTGTCCGGGAGCGTTCAGCATCCTCGAAGACGGCTTGGGAGGGCCCCTAGAAGGCCGCAGGGGCGTCCCAAGGGGCCCCAGGAGCAGTCAAGCATCGGTCACGCGAGCGCTCTCTCGCGTGACCGCTCTTGGGGTCCTTTTGGAATCCTCTTGGTGCCCTTCTTCGAGCCGGCCCTCTTGGGGGCCGCCGTGGGGCCGCGGCGATGCGTTTTGTTGCCGTCCTGGGCAGCGCGAGGGTCCTCCTGGGGCCGCTCTGGGGCCGCCGTGATGGACACTCTGGGGCTCCCTTCGGGGACTCTCTTGAGGCGGGCTGGGGCGAGCTTGGGGGCCTCCTGGGCAGGGTTGCTGCGATCTTGGAGGCCTCTTGGTCCGCCTCGGACCGTCGGAAAGCTGTAAAGGTGAGAATGCGGAAGTCCTTCAAAAACTCTGACGAGGTAATGGATTTGGCTCTTTGGGGACCCTCGTGGAGGCCTCGTGGGGGCCCCCTGGAGGCCTCTTGGAGGCCTCTCCTGGCCTCTTGGGGGGGCCCTTGTGGGCGTCTCGCAGCTTCCTGGGGGCCTCTCGGGGCCGAGGGCTCGAATGTCCGTTCGGGGCCCCCGCCTCCACCCTCCCTGAAGTCGTCTTGGAAGCCTCTGGGGGCCGTCATGGAAGCCTCTTGGGCCAAATCGGAGCCCTCTTGGGTCCGTCTTGGAGCTCTCTCGGGGCGTCTCGGGCTCTCTAAAAAGCCTCTTGGGCAATGTTGGGGCGATCTTGGAAGGGCCGCCTTCGAGCGTTGGGAAGCCAACAAAAATGAGAACGCGTAAATCCTTCGAGACCTACGTTTAAACATGTATGTTAGCTCTTTGGGGAGCCTCGTGGAGGCCTCGTGGGGCCTCTTGGAGGCCTCACGGGGGCCTCTTCGGGCCCCTTAGGGGGTTATTTGGGGCCTCTCGGAGCTTCGTGGGAGCCGATCGGGGCCGAGGGCTCGAAATGTCCGTTCGCGGTTCCGTCTGGATCCTCTCTGGAGTCGTCTTGGGGGCCTCTGGGGCCGTCTTGGAGGCCTCTTAGGCCGTCTTGAAGCCCTCTCGGGGCCATCTTGGGGCTATCTTGGGAGCCTCTTGGGCTGTATTGGGGCGTCGGGCCGCCTGGGAGCGCTGGGAAGACGAAAAGGCGAGAAAACTAAAATTCCTTAAAAACACTCTTGATCAATTAATTGTGCCTAGGCCTCGTGGAGGCTCTTGGGAGGCCTCGTGGAGGCCTCTTGGGGCGTCTCGGGAGCCTCTCGGACAATGAGCCGCCAATTCCGGCCGATCTGGTGCCGTCATAGGCTGTTTTGGCAGTCTCGAGGCAGCGCGTTTTCGAGCATCCCGGGGCCGTCTTCGGGCGATCTTGGAGGGCCCCGGCGCGCTGGCAGGGCCCCGGGCAGCCCGGGCACCACATTTGTGGTCGGGGGCCCAGCCGGGGGGCCCCAGACCAGGTGCGCCGTTGTGTGTAGATTTCCTCGAGCAGACGTATAAGTGGTCTACATGGCTGCACAAATTCATGAAAACTGCCCGATACAACCTAAACTGATCTGGTACACCTCGAGCACAGACCAGCGCGGGCGAATTATGCTTATTCATTGTATTATTATTGTTCTTGCTATTATTATCAGTGTTGTTATTATTATTCGTATTATTATTTGTATTATTATTATTATTACTATTACTATTATTATCATTATTATTATTATTGTTATTATTATTGTTATTATTATTATCAGTATTATTATTATTGTTATTATTATTACTATTATTATTATTACTATAATTATCCTCCTCCTCCTCCTCCTCATCCTCCTCCTCCTCCTCCTCCTCCTCCCTGTCCCCTCCACCATCCTTCTCAACAACGCCCTCCTCCCCTTCCCCCTCTGCCGTCGCTACCACTGCGAGGCAGACACTGTAGGCCCACGAAAACCATAGAAAAACCAAGTACAGAGTGATCAGGAACGCTCTGAGGGTGTTCCGGAACTCTCTGGAGCAAATCATACTCATCCCAATCCCAGGCCTGAATGATAGAGAGAGGGGAAGGACGGGGATGCCTAAAAGGGGCATGAGAGGCCAGGAAAAACAATGCGCAGGGGTGAGAAAAACGCACCTGGGCACGCCTTTGTTAGTTCGCAGCAGTGTCCCACGGAAAGGCCCCCGAATGGCAGAAAAAAGGCGGCAAAAAAAAAGATGTGTGTTCTTTTCGGGTTACTTTTCCTCGTGGCGAGGCTGCGACCTCCTGGAGGCCCCCAGGGAAGTCCCAGGAAACCTTCCGAGGCCTCCAGAAGCTCCTAGAGAATTCCTGAGGCGGGAGGGGGAGGAGCAGGGGAAGGAGGAGGGAGGAGGAAGGAAGAAGAAACAATAACGAGCACGTGGGGAGACGCGCCAGACTCGGGTGACGGACGGAGCATAGCAATCGAAAAAGATGAGAAGCACAGCCAACAACATGACAATGGACCGATATATCGCGGAGGCAATGGAACGGGTCAAGACGAGGGGGAGGAGACATCGCCGACGTCAGCTCAGCACGAACAAACCTCGGGAGGCCAAAAACAAAGTCCAAACGAAATGGCGAGGAATCATACGTACATGAGGCCGAGCCGTTAGGAGAAAGGAGGAAGGAGGAGCAGGGAGGAGCAGGGAAGTAAGAGGGGAGGAGGAGAGGGAGAAGGAGGAAGCTGCTTCCCCCCCCCTTCACCCGCACAGGCCTCGTCGGCCTCCCCGACGTCGTCCACAAGCTGGTCCGCCAGCGCACGGGCGGGGCCCTGACAGAAGGCGCCCACGCCCCTCGCCCCATTGCCCGACGAATGAGATATTCTGCCGCTCTCGCTGCTCCCCCTCCTTGTCCACGTTCTCGTCCATCCTCGTCAACCTTCTCCCCCTCCTCCTCTTCCTCCTCCTCCTCCTCCTCCTCGTTCTCTACCTCTCCTCCGCCTCCTCCTCCTCCTCCTCCTCCGCCTCCTCCTCCTCCTCCTTCTCCTCCTTCCCCTCCTCCTCCACCTCCTCCTCCCTGATCCTCACGAAGGGAACAAACAATGACATGAGCATGACAAATTGGAGGTCCGCGCGGATTTCTTGGATCGGCGCTGGACCCCCTCCCTGGCGCGCGGGGCGCGCCAGTGGCGGCGCCACCAGGGACTCCAGCGCCGATGCAAGAAATCCGCGTGGACCTACGAGATTTTATGTTTGTGTCATTGTTCGCTCCCCTTCCTCAATACCCGTTTTGGCTGGCCGCGAATGGATCATCCTTCTCCTTTTCCTTTTCCTTTTCCTTCTCCTCCTCCTCCACATCCTCATCCCCCTCCTCCTCATCATCATCCTCCCTGGTCCTCCAAACAATGTCAGAAACATGAAAACTCGGAGGTCCGTGCGGATTTCTTGGATTGGCGCTCGCCAAGAACTACAGCGCCGATCAAAGAGATGCGAAGCTCGAATCTAGAAGTCACTCGTTGACACGAATTGGAGCCATGCATCAAAAAATTGCGCGCCCACAGCTTGAGAGCTCTTTGGATTCGTTGAAATGTTGTGTTGATGTCATTGTTGGCTATTTTTCTTCAACTCGGAGGCGGCCAAGAGGGGGGCGTCCAAGAGGGGGGCGTGCTACTCATGACAGGCGGCACGTGCGCGGCCCAGGGGGGGGGGCTGGGGACGTAACGAAACAAGAAGAGGCGCCATGAGATCTGGTGAGATATCATGGCCCCTGCCATGATATCCACCCCCCCTAGTCTCGGGGGCGCGCACACATGGATTAGCGATCCATGCTTGTGGCGCGCGGTCGCCAAATCCATGGGTCAGGGGAGGTGCCCTCCCCAAAATGCGGCCAGTGCCGCCTCGCTCGGCGGCGGAAGTCTACAATCTCCCATGGGAACGGGACCCGTCGTTGATCCACGCCCCCTCAATCCATTTTGCGATCGCCCGAGTCCCGGCCGCCCCCGAATCGATCGGCAGATCGATCGATCGGCCGCGCCTCTGCGGTGGCCGCGGCCGGCGCGCGGCCCCCGGCGTCGGGTGGCGTCGCGGCGGCCGCCGCCGCCGCCACGTCGGCGGCCCCCGGCACGTCCTGCGCCCCGCCGGGAGCCCCCGCCCCCACACACCAGAAGCGGCCGATGACCTCGAGACCTTTCTTAACAAAAAAATCTGCGAGAACCCGGGGTATTCCGGGAGGGGGATGGGGGCCGACAACCTAACCTTCGCGCTGTGGGCAACCCTGCATACGCACGCGCCCCCCCACCCCGGACCAGCGCAACTGGCAAGGTTAGGTTATCCTGGGGGGGGGGAGAGGTGGGGGCAAGCCCGATAACCCGGGTTTTCGCTGGACCCTTGAAAAAACAGTCTCCTGAGAGAGGGATTATCGTACCAGTGAGCCTATCCGCACATGCCCACCCCCTGGGGGACCGCGCCCGCACTACGAGTCTGGATGCCCCCCAGAGACGCGCGCGCATTAGGGGCAGCGCGTTGTGAGGTGACAGGTAGAGCTATGCAGGTATTGCCACCGGCCAAGCAAGCACCATCGTACACACACACACGCCCTTCTGTAAGCACACGCTTCTGCGACCATTTTGTTGTCATCTTCGCCATCTGCTGGCCGCGAGCACATGGGGGCAGGAGGAGGGGGAGAGGCTCCTTAGAGAAGAAGCCTGTTTCTCGGAAGGCGCCGGCCTTACATCCATAGTTGAGGCCCGCGCCTTCTAAGAAGCAGGGCGTTTCTAAGAAGCCTTCCCCCTCCACAGTGAAAAAGAGTATGAGCACTACTCCCCCTCCTCCCCTGGAGTTGTCTGGAATATCTCCCGCCCCTTCTGCGTGTAATTATAAATTACAAGATGTCAAAGTTGATTTGCACTGTGGTTCTCAACCATCCAAGCTCCCGCTGCTGCGTGGGCCTTGTTTTTCGGATCCGCGTGTTGCTCCCCTCGTTCAGCATGACGCTCTCGCCCGAGCGGGGGCCACTTTTCTAGATCCGAGTCCTGCTTCATTGTGGTCCCCCCCCCATCATTTCCCCTCCTCCGCTTTCCAGTGGTCCTCGTGTTCCTCCCGCTCCTTCCACTCCAGTTCCTGCCGCTGCAGTTCGTCTCGCCCCAGAGCGGGCCGCTTTTCTGAATCCGAGTCTTCATTCATCGTTGTCGCCTTCCCCATTTCCCCTCCTCTGCCTTCCCCTGCTTCACCTTTCCCTTCCGATCCTTCCGCTTTAGTTCCTGCTGCTGCAATTCGTCCTCATCCTTCTCCTCTTTTCCTCCCACTCATCCTCCTGCTCACCCGCCACCTCCTCATCCTCCTCATCATCCTCCTCCTCGTCCTCCTCCTCGTCCTCCTCCTCGTCCTTCTCCTCCTCCTCCTACTTTTCCTCCTCCTCCTCCTCCTCCTCCTCCTCATCCTCCGCTTCTTCCTCCTCCTCCTCCTCCTCCTCCTCCTCCTGTGCACACAGCTCCCATGTTTCCGATGGGGCATAACACGAAGCGGTCTTTCTGTGTGAGTCGCAGGTCGGCTATAACACGCGTCCACGGATAGAGAAAAATCAGCGCCATTGGAAGGGACAGGAGGGAGGGATGGGATGTCAGATGAGTCGCAAGCGCACCTAGCTTGCCCCACCCCCTCTGCGCGTGGCCGAAGCACACGCCTCTCTTACCACTTTAACATGTTCTTCGACTTCTGGAGGGTCGAGGACCATCCCAGCAGCTGGAGCTTGACGATAGCCTCACAGCGGTGGTGCCCATGCCCCGATGGACCTTCTGCAGGCCACGCTCAGACTCGGGAGCCGAGTCGACAGCATGGTAAGGGAAATGAGCCATCCCCCCTCTCCCCCCCGTGGTCGCGTCACGCTTCGCGCCGGCGCCGAGTCGGAATGAACCATTCCGGGGCATTCCCAGACGGCGCCGGCGCGAGTCGTGCCGTGACCGGCCCCCTCCGCCACCTCCCCCAGGTCACGCCCGTTATATCGCCAGGGAATTAGAAAAACTATCTCCCAGGCTGCTGGGGGGGGGTCAGGAGGAGGAGGAGGAGGAGGAGGAGGAGGAGGAGGGCCAGACCCCCTCGCGTCGCCGGAAAGATCGCAGCGAGAGAGTTTTTGCCGTTTTCTGCCTCCAAGGGGCCCTCGCTGGGCCCCGGGACCGTCCAACAACAAAGCGCGGGATGAAAAGCTGGCCCCGGGGTGTAGGTCGAACAAGTCCTCTGGGGATCGACGTTGTGAAAAATCGTGACGTCGGGGGTCTGGGAGGAGGAGGAAGTGCGGAGGAAGGGAGGAGGGAAGTGAAAAGGGGGGAAGAAGGAGGAAGGGGGAGGAGGGGAGGAGAGAGAAGCAGAACAAGATCGGCGCTCTCGCGACATATGCGAAATGTCGAGGAAGACATGGATACCATCATGTTGTCCTGAAGCGCAACAAACTACCAAGCGGGAGCACATCGTTTGCTGATGCAGCAATACAGCCTGCGCGGGGGACGGAGGTTCTTATGACATGCTCCCTCGTGCGGCAGACGCTGCAACGGAAGCTACTTCTCTTCTGATGCAAGAAGCCGAGTAACACTGCGGCGAGAGCGTGGTTCCATTGGACGGGCAGTCCATGGAAATCCTGCAACGCGGTAAGTGCTTCTCTGGCGGGAACGCCACCGATGCAGCGGCGACGGCGTCGTCCCGCTGGACGGCAGTTCACGTGGAAATCGCTCCGTGGCCACCGCTGCAGCCCGAGCAGAACTCTGCAGGGGCAGATGGGCGGCGCCAGATGTCTTGGGGGACGGGCAGGGGTATATCGGTACACGTCGTTCATTTTTGATCGTGCTCATTTCTAAGTGTGCTCGTTTAATCGTTCCTGGCCCCCCAGTGGCCAGGAAGAAGCCCAGGATAGAAGAATTAGAAATGAAAGGATCCTGCCCCCCAAAAAAATCAAAGAACTTTCGAGGAATGAGAAATGAGCAATGTGTATCGCTTTCCCCCCTTACAGGAAGAGATGGCGGGAGGATCTGCTCTTCACACCGCCGACTGCCTGCTGCGCCGCCCCCTTCCACAGCTCGGGCATCCGTCGGCCGCTCGGGACGATTCCAGCATTCCCGGAACGCTCCAGATGGAGCGCCGCTCCTGGAAGCCAACGCTGGGCCTCGGAAGCCTCCGAAGATGCAAGAAAAAACATACGAAAAGGTGACGAGAAGCCTCCTCCCACCCCCTCCTGTTCTACGGGCCGGCTGCGAGGCAGCCGAACCGACCGAATTGCGGACACAGTCCTGCTTCCCTGGGCCGGCTTTTCATTTCGAGTCGTTTTGTTGAGGGTCCTTTGGGGCCCGAAGTGGCCCGAAGTAGTCCCCCCCAAAACCGAAAGCGGCGGCAAACGCCAAATAAGGCGAAAGGAGGGTTGATACGCGGCCCGCTGCCCATCGTTTTGTTGGAGGTGTATGTCGCCACGCTGCTTCTTCTAAACACTCCCGGCACCGCGGCAAGCCAACCGCAAAACTTGCGTCTGAGGGGGAAGTTGCCCCTGGTGGCCGCGGCGCCCTCTCAAAGGCGGAAGGCCGCACGTCGGAACAAGCGGCGCGCCGACACATCGGCATCTCTTCCTCACCTGAGTCGGGGCGTCCAGGGGGGGCGCGTCCATGAGGCGCTCAGCAAATCATGGCCAGAAGCGCGCGCGCGGACGAGGGGGCAACGACAGACGACTTTGAAAGAGGGGGGGGAGGAGGAGGAGGAGGAGGAGGAGGAGGAGGAGGAGGAGGAGGAGGAGGAGGAGGAGGAGGAGGACGAGGAGGAGGAGTGAGAAAAAAGGGGGCCACGAGATCCGGGAAAGTATAATGGCCCCGGCCACGACATCCACCCCCCCCATAGCAATTCCCCCCCCTCCTCTTGGCCGCCCGCACCAGCGTGGACACCCCCGAGCTCTGGGCCCCTTCCCCCGGACAGGATCATCCTGAATGGCAACCTACAGGGCAGTTTTTAATACATAGGATGTTTCAAAATACTGGATTCTTAATACATGATTAATGTAATAATAAATTCATGCATGAACTCATCGTTGTTTTTAATACTAGATCCCTGCATTTTGAATACATGATCCGCACGCGGAGCATGCATTAAAAACAGCACTGTACGAGACCACCCCAACCGAACCCGACGATCCCAATTTCGGGTACGGGTTCCATCTGTGTGTTTTCAATGCTCCCTGGCCCCCCCCCCATCCACTGGAGATGGAGGACAGATTGAGGACTCTGGGTCGGGTTGGGCTGAGGTGGTCTGGTGGGTGGTGGCTGGATCGGTGTCTGACGGCCCCTGGGCATGGCGAGGGCCCTCGGAGCAGAAACAACAACACATCAACCAAAAACGCCGCCTTGCTTTCTTGAGTCCCGTGGCGACGGTTTCACAGATCGCAGCCCCGCCAGGGATGGCGAGGTCTAATTTGAGCCTGCGGCAAGTACCCACTATGCTGGCCCAACCCAGCAGCCCTCGAAAGTGGAGACGGTTTCGCAGCTCGCAGCCCACCAGGGATGGCGAGGTCTAATTTGAGCCTGCGGCAAATATCGACTATGCTGCCCCCCCCGCCCGCTACCCATCGCGCCGCCCATTCACGGGCCAATGAACACTCGAAACCTTCGGTCCTAGATCCTCTTCGATCCTCCACCGATCGTCGATCTACATCGACCCTCGACCATCCTCGCTCCTCGCTCCTCGCTCCTCGATCCTCGATCCTCCAGATACTCGATGCTCCACCAGGCCTGGAAGAGATGGCGGGAGCATTTCTGCGGCAACTCATGGGAGCCTCCCGTGCCATCTTGCGGCCTATTGCGCATCGACGCTGGCCGACGCTGATCAACGCTGACATCGATGCTATAGTGGAGGCCAGTACGCAAGAAACCTTCCACAGGAAACCCAACCTTGAGATCCCAGGACGTCCATTGGTTGTTGGTGTGGGAACGTTACACTTCCCATCGCAAAACTATCGAAACCCAAGAAACCCAGGGCACCCTGGACGCGAGCAGGGTACTTGGCATGGGTCTCCACTGTAGATCGACGCTACATCGGCGCGATCACATCGATGACCAAACGCTAGCGCACACTACTCGAAATACTGAATTTCGAGAGCACCCC